AAAGCTCTTGTGGGTCTTTCCTTCTTCACCTGGAGTCCAGGCAGTTCAAAGCCCTGGGGAAGACCCTTCTCCCACACCTTTGTGCTCTCCTGTGCTGGTCTCTCTCTTTCTGACTTGTCTACTCTCTGCTGTACTTAGGCTTCTGCATTGGCCCTGGGGAGGCCTTTTGACACTCTTCCTCTACTATGCCAGGAGTTTGGGGGCTCGCTGTTCTACATTTCCTGCTAGCCAGCATCATAAGTACTTGCCAGTGTTCCCCACCTCCATTCCCCCAGAGTCATGGACAGTGTCTTACACCAGTGCTTAACAGTGACAGTGGCTAATAGGATGAATTACTAATAGAGTTAATACTAGCTTTTAAGTAGTACCAGAAATGGTTTCAAATTCTTGACATGAATTATCCCATTTAATAGCAATGTCTGTAGTGCTTAGAAATTCTTGTTGTTTTTGTATTAGAGCTGAGGAAATCAAGGCTTAGCGAGCGACCTTAAAGACCCAGATTCCTCATGGAGCACTGGTGAGCCAGCTTTGGAGGCAGTCAAGTTCCTGAGCTCCATATGCGCTTAATGTGTGATCTGAAACAAGGTCAGTTTCCCAGCTCATGTGTGTTGCCAACAGAATGGATGCGTGAGGATGTGACGCACACGTGGACAAGGGCATCAGTGCCTGAGCACACCACATGCGCTGGGATGGGTTGGCAGGAGACAACAAAGTGACATGAGTATAGGAGCTTTGTTGTGAAGAGACAGGAAAGTGAAAGGTAGGGCAGGCAGCTCTGGAAAAGATAGACTGCCTTTCTGTGACTACTGAGACAACATGGTATCGGCAGGGCCAGTCTAGAAGAGCATTTTGGAGCCATCAGTAACCCCTGTTGAGTTGTCCCAGCCCACTGGCCTGACCTCTGAGCAGCTCTGTCCACCCCACACCCTCACCATACCTGAAGCAGAGTGGGTACACAGATCTTGACCTCCCCAGGACCTTGCATGGTTGGGTGGCGCCTGAGAGGACTTGTGGATAGGGCATGATGCCCACTGGTGGGGCCAGGAAAATCCATAGTACCTCCTGGGCCTGGACCACTGGAGACCAGACCTGGGCTCTGGGCCTAATGAGCTGCTTTACAGGTTTAGTGTTTCATCCAATTCCTGTAAGCCATTAGTCAGAGGGCGTGTGGGCAGGTGTGGAGCAGGGAGTCAGCTTTGGTCAGAGCAGTGTGTTTGTTGGTCCAGAGAAGATAAGCAGAGCTGAGGAGTGCTTTTCTTTTTTGGATGGAAGCAGGGCTGTAAGCTCAGGGATGGGACACCAAAGCAGAGATGTGGACACTCCTACAATTTCTATAAGGCAGGACAGCTTGGGGGCCTGGGAGGCCTGGTTCCAGAACTTTCCAAGGTCCAGAGATTTGGGGTCCAGTTTTGGCCTGCCGTGCTTGAGAAAGCTTCAGTTTCCTGGACTGTAAAATCAGGCCCATGATACCTGGATGCCCAATGAGGGGAGGGTACAAAGGTTCCTCACAGATGGTTCAAAGGTTCCTTCACAGAGGGGAGGCCAGAAATGACAGGCTCAATTGTGTCCCCTCCTTGGAGTACAACGGTGAATTGCAAAGATGCCATGCAAAGAAAAAAATGGTTCTGGAAAAGGGGGGAAGGGGAGATCAGCCTCTGGGAGTGACAGAGCTGACAAGAAGGTGGCCCCAGTGGTGGTGGCAATGCAGTAAAGGTCCAACACATTCTAGGTTAAAAACACAGCAAAATTATGGAAACCACGGGAAAGTTAAAGTCTGGGATGAGATTCAGTGAAGTAGCTGCACGGTATGGTGAAGATAGAGCCAGGAAAGGGGGTGACTTGGGATGGATGACCAGAGGCTCCATGGTAGGGCCATTTCAAGAAGCAGCATTTGCCTTGCCTGTGAGTGGAATGGATAAACTTGTGCTTACAGACCCACCAATTAAGACAGTTTGGATATCATATTATTATGGTTGAAAGGAGAAAATAAAATATGTGAAAAATAAAAAAAAAGTATGTGCCCTCCTTCTCAGCCCCAGAGATGAAGAGTACAGCCAGCCCTGGAAAAGGTGCACTTTACAAAGCTCTTAAGAGTGTACCTTCTCATCTATCCTCCCAGCAACCTTGCACGGGGGAACACTACTATTGATGTCATTTTACACTTGCAGACCAATGCTCTGTATCATGTAATAGTGCTCAGTGTCAAAAGGCCCAGAATTGCCAGCCCAGAGGACTTAAGGATGATACTGTGGAAGAGCCTGGAAGACCAGAATCAGGGGCTGTGGCTGCTGGCCTCATCTGTGTGCCTCTTGCTCCATTCTCCAAGCAATTTTTTTGCCCCTATTCTGCTATGGACGTGCCCACCTGGCCCACTGTTAGCCTCACTGGGTGTTGGGAGGTAACTGGAGGAGAGGTGACAACAGGGTCTAATCTCATAGCAGTGGGAGCAACTCTGCATCCTGAGGCCAAACTTGACAGGAGCCATGAAATGGCATAGTCCATCCAGCTGCGCTGGGAAAGCGAATAAGAAAACATTAGAGTATGGCTGCCACAGCCAGTTTTTCGGTGAGAAGAGAGAAAACTGCCAGGTGAACTGGGAAGACTGACCTAACTAATTTCCACATGGCCCGGGAGTCCCTTCAGTGTTCCCCACTCTAGTGACACAGCCGAGGAAGAGCAGGAAGGCAGCAACTCTGCAGAGGAGAACACGGTGCTCAGCAGACAAACAAAGTGTTCCATTTCCACAGAAGCCCCCACAGGTGGCCCTGGCCCAGGGGTGGGGAGCCACCTGGGATGCACAGAAATGCCCGGCTGTGCTACTGGGGCACAGGGCACAGGAGGCTGTGTGGGCCCTTCCTGCACCAAGTGTGGAGTGTGGGTAGGGCTGGGGAGGTGCAGGCCTGGGGACACAGACAGAAAGCAGGAAGGCAAGAGGCAAGACAGACAGAGAGAAGGAGGAAGGAGGAGGAGCGCATCGAACCTGCAGAGCCATGAAGCAGGCACAGTGTGGACAAGGGAGAGATTCCACATCCAAAAACCAACAGCAAGATGCTCTGCTTTTCTGGATTTCTGGATTTTCTCAACTATGAAGCCAAGCATGGTGGTGCACCCTTGTAATCCCAGCACTTGGGAGGCTGAGGCAAAGAGGATTATCTCGAGTTGAGCCAGCCTGGGCTACATAGTGAGACCCTGCCTCAAAGAACAACAAAAATCATGAGGTGTCCTCTTTCGGGTCCTCCTTTCCAAGATGACAAAAAAAAAAGAAGGAACAACGGTCGTGCCAAAAAGGGCCACGGTCATATGCAGCCTATTCGCTATGCGAACTGCGCCCGGTGCACACCCAAGGATAAGGTTATTAAGAAGTTTGTCATTCGGAACATAGTGGAGGCCGCCGCCATCAGGGACATTTCCGAAGCGAGTGTCTTCGACGATTATGTGCTTCCCAAGCTGTATGTGAAGCTGCATCACTGTGTGAGTTGTGCCATTCTCAGCAAAGTGGTCAGAAATCGATCTCGTGAAGCCCGTAAGGACCGAACTCCTCCACCCTGATTTAGACCTGCTGGTGCTGCCCCACGACCTCCACCAAAGCCCATGTGAGGGGAACTGAGTCTTAATGGACTGAAGAAAACTCTCTTGAGGAAGAAATAATAAATTGAATGTTATACTTTAAAAAAAAATCATGAGGTATGATTGAAAAATAAAGTAAATGTTTGAAAATTTATTTTAGACACCTGACAACCTTTCTTAAGACCCCCCTCCCCCATCACTTTGAATACCACCCAGTGGAAAAACAGGCTTATAAAAACATAATGCTGTGTCCTCATCCTTATTCACCAGATCATGCGCTACAGCTCTTCCCCAAAGGCCAAATGACCAGGAAAGAGAAATGTTTTGAATCCGTTCAGGACACTGAGGCAGCCACAACAATGCAACTTAGTTAACATTCACAGAAGAGGACTTCCAGGGCTGCTGTGGAAAATGGCAAAAAGGATCGGTGTGTTTGAAGCAAGGGAGAGTACTTTTGAGGAGGATGAGTGGAAATGTGTGTCCTTTACTGTAATAATCTTAAAATTTAAACATCTGGATTTTTTGGTTTTTTCTTTACCACTGAGCTATCGTCCCAACCTTTTTTTTTTTTTTTTTTTTTGAAACAGGGTCCCACTATGCAATTCAGGCTGACCTTGAACTCGCAAGATTCTCCTGCCTCTGCCTTCTGAGTGCTGGGGTTACAAGCACGTGCCACCACACCTGGCTAAAAGCAGCTGTATTTTTATCATACTTTGTATTTATGAGGAAGATGTATCGATTTATAATGACAACTTTTAAAAAACATAATGAAAGGGGGAAAAGGACCACAAAGACGTGTTACAAAGTGTTAGCAGATATCCATTAGGAAACCAGCACAAGAGTGGTTCCCTCTGTCCTAAAAATAACAACATAAAAGTGGCTGAGGAAAGTTAGGGTGACAGGAGGAGGATAATGATTAAGGGGTGCAGGGGAGAAGTAAGGACGCAGTGCTCCCTGAGAAGTGTTTCCCAGGCCTCCTGGGGCCTGCACTGAGAAGGGCCTGGGCAATGCTTGTGGGATGTAAAGCTGCCAAGAAGGGGCTGCCCCACCGTGCTGGGTGCTCCCAGGTGGGCAGCAAGGATGCCCTGCTGGGCAGCGGGCACAGCACGCGGTATCCTCCGCAGGGCTTCTTCTGCCTGGAGCTTGCTGAGAGCACTGAGGGGGAAAGACCTGTATCCTTCATTCTAGAGAGGCCAGCAGAGGGCTGTGGAGTTTATCTTGTGGTGGAGACCTTTCACTGAAAAGAGAGGGGCCTCAGGGAGCAAGAATGTTCCCAGCCACAGAGCTGGCAGCTAGGTCAAGAGGACAAAGGGGTAGCGCTAAGTGTCTAATAGGCACAGGAGCTGCAACACCAGGGATAAGGACACCTCCATTCTTTTTTCATTTGCCCCTCAGGCAGAGGTGGAGCAGGACAGAGAAAGTAGCAAGGAGCCCTGAGGGGCACCAGGAAGGCAGGGTCTGGTTCAGGCAGTTGCAGTTGCAGCCACGAAGATGTCCTTGTAGCCCTTGATCTCCTTGACCTCATTGCTGCTGATGAGGACCTGGAGCTGGCGGGCCCCGGCCTTGCTGGGGTAGAGGTCCAGGTGAATTTGGATGGTGTCTCCAGACTTCAGAGTGCCGAGGCTGAAAGTCAAAAAGATGCTGTTAGAGCCCTGAGGAGTGAGGGATAGCTTGGGTGGGTGTTCCAGGATCCCTGTGGTGACTGAGCACTTGCCATTCTGTAGCTTCACTGAGTCCCCCTCTCCTGAGGAGGCCAGAAAGTGGGGCCACAGAGGTACTACCCAGAGCCTCAGGAGGGTTTTGACTCCACAAGGGACTGACTCGAGAGGAGGACAGTGGCATTACTCACTCTTCTGTTATCTGCCCGTGGATGAGACCACTTCCCTCCAGCACCATGGTGCAGTTACTCAGGGCCACTGTTAGTGTATTGGTGAGTGAGATGTGGACTGTCAGGGCCTTGCCCACCTCGGCTCTCTTAGACACCTGTGTGGACAGAAGACAGGAGTGTCCTGGGCAATGGGCCTCACATCTGCCTTCTAGTCAGTAGCCTTCCTTCCTCTTCCTCTGGCCCCAGCAGGACTGTACTTAGAGATAGGATGATGCTGCTGCTGGGAGGGAAGACTGTGAACTTAGAATATTTCAGATTAACACATATGCTGGCCTACTTTGGAAGTCAAGATATTGCAGGAAGCTACCTACCATCAATCAGGAGCCTGCTTCCGGCTCTACCATGTTGTTTAAGATACCTAGTAGATTTCAAGTAAAGAGCCAGCTCTGAGGGTTACAGGTGTTTAATATTTATGCTGGGCAAAGTGGCATTCAAGAACAAAACTCATCAACCGTGATTAATTAGTAATGTCTGGTGCAGGCAAGGGAGAAGGTAGGAGCATCACGTGTGCCACTGGATACAAAGAGGCCAAGGCCCCACGATGTATGAATGGCAGAACCAGGACCTGACCCAGGCACTGAATCTGCCCCATGCAGTTCTCCTGTCCACTCAAGATTTCTCAGTGATGCTCAGTAACTCATTCGGAGGTCTGTGTTGCAGGCAGCACAGCCTTGGCCTAGATCAGGGGGGCAGGGATTCTGTCCTACTCACTTCAGGAGCTCCTGTGCCTGGTACAGTGCCAGCCAAGTGAGGGCTGTTGGTAAGGACTTGAGCTGAAATGAGCTCTGACCACTAGGATACACGCTGGCTTCAGCAGAGAATCAAGGAAAAGAAAGAATGCAGCTGGCTAACCTAGAATTCAGACAAAGGGACCAAGTCCTTATTGAGGCCATAAAAGTAGACAGGGTTAAATGACAGGAATCCAGAAAAGTCACACAGACTGTCTCTTGGTCCCATGCCAATGGGGACCAATTTCCAGCCTGCTCAGCATCTGCTGCGCTGCTCTGGGACCCCATGAAAAGCAGGGCTCTGCCTGGATAATGGACACAGCCCCAGCTAGCCTTTCCTAGGCGTCCTTGGTGCCTCCATGCCCCACCCTGCCTTTTGTACATGCTGCACGGTCATCATTACTTTTGTGTCTGAGGTAGAAACAGTGTCTTGTTTGCTGCTGCTCCCCAAGTCCTGTGCTGGGTGAGGCAGAGAGCCCTGGGGGTCCTATCTCTGCCGAGCCCTCACCTCAATAGATAAGCGTGGAGGCTCCAGAGAGAGGTCTTTTAGGACCAGCATCGACCACCCTGTCTCTTCAACCTTGGCAATGCCAGACACGCGGACCAGCTTTTCATCGGTCAGCTTGTTTCTGTAATTGGTGTAGGGCAGCAGGAGTGGCCAGTGTATCTCTGTGCACAGACAAACACATCTTTAGTGCAGAGGATGGGTCAGGAAGGGAGGGAAGAGGGAAGGAGAAAGCGAGAGAATATATGGGTAAGAGAAAAATTTGAGTTTTCACCTAGAGACAGACAGAGTACTCAACCAGCACAGAGAGCTTCCAGAACTCTCTGCTGTTCTGCCTGGCAAGATGGCACCAGAGGTACCACAGCAGGCATTTGCATGGCCAGTGACAGCAGCCCACTGCCCGTGCTGCACTGTGTGCATGCTGACGGGGCTGTCTGTGGTCTCACAGAACCAGCCCGGCCCAGTTCACGGGCCAGAGACCTCTCTGTAGGAGCCTCTCAAGCCTGTAGTACACACCTTTCCCAAAGTCTAAGTCCAGGTGCACTGCTTGCTTCCAGAGCGGCTCCCTTGTGCTGCCCCCGTGCAGCAGGGCCTGGGCACAGAACCGCACCTCCAGCCTGATGGGACCTCCAGGGTGGGCACTGTCCTGCACCCTCTGGACATGCAGGTTGAGGAGCAGGTCCTGGCCCCACACTGGGGCCCTGGCTGGGTAAAGCCGTAGCTGTGCGGGCTGAGCCTTGAAGGCCGCAGAGCCCAGAAGATCCAGGAGGGATGAGGAGCCCCTTTCCTGTGCCAGCATTTTCTTGGAAGCCTTCATGAATACAGACCGCTCCTCAGGGGATCCTGGCAGAACAGAGACACAGGGAAGACATCAGTGAGCAGGAGGACAAGTGACTTCCTAGGAGAAACAAGCGGCTCCACTTGCAGCTTTCCTTCTGAAGCTGGAAGAGCAGCGCGGCAAGGTGGCTGCAAATGTGGGCCCTGGTGCTTCTTGTGCTGGCTCCTCATCCTTGCTCCACCGGTGCTAGGGATAGCACCAGCTTGCCTCATAGGGCTGCCAAAAAGAGCTGAGTTAAGGGTGTTGCTGACGCTAAGCACTGAGCACTGCTGTCATCAGTATTGCCACCTTCGTCACCGTCATCATCATCTGGGCCAGAGGTTTCTCCGGCCTTCCAAGCATTCTGTCTCCTGGAATATACATGTGAGGCTTTTAAACAGAATCCCGTCTCTTGCCTTTGGGGCTACTCAACACTGAAGCATGAAAAACAAAGTCTAAGGCGTGGCTTAAGTGGACCCAAAAGTGTGGCTCTTTTGGAGGAGTGACTGTGCCAGAAGCTCTCTCTGTGGCGCTTTCTCTGAGTTAGCTCGCCAACCCCTCTGAGCTGTCCCATCTTACAGATGCAGAGGTGGAGGCGTGAGACGGCAAGGCTGTCTGGGCTTGCCCAGCCAGAGCACAGCAGAGGCCTGTCCAGTCCACAAGCATCTCTCTTGGGCATATTCGCCCCCTCTCACGGGCCCTCGAGCCCTGTCCTTCCTGAATGTCCATCTCTGCCCTTGTCACCACCCCTACTGCTATGGACAAAGAAACAGCAGTGTGATCCTGAGATAGAGTGGCCAGAGAAATACGGGACCTCCAATTAAGTTTTAATTCCAGGTAAATGACAAAGATTTCTAGTATAGTATATGGCATACAATATTGGAACATGTTTATACTAAAACCTACAACATGTTAAATCTGAACTGCAAAGAAATAACAACTTTTTAGGATATTTTATGCACCATTTGGCATGAACTAACACCATAGTTGCTTGTCTGAATGTATTTGGAATTGAAATTTAACCAAGTACCTTGTATGTTCTTTGCTAGGGCCAAATCCCCCCTGGAGTCCGCCATGAGGAGGACCCATCCCAGCAGTTCCGTGCATCCCTTCTCTAAACCCTGGCCCAGGCACCTTCTGGATACTTGTAGGAGCCGGTGATGTCCTGGCGCTGGTCTGACCCCACCATCTTGGTGCTGATTTCCTTCCCGATGGAATTGGTGTTGTGGGCGAGGATTTCCCGGGCTTCACCGTCTTCAAAGAGCCAAATGACTTCATCTGCGTTCACCTCGGCAAACACAAAAGGGGTGTCATAAGCCAGGTGGACGTCTCCTTCCCTGATGGCCTTCACAGAGGCAGGGCCACAGCAAAACAGCCCTGTGGAGCAAGAGAAGTTGTGGGGCATTGTGCTGACATGTGGCCCAAGGTAGCTGGACTCAACCGCAGGAGGTGGGGAGAAAGGAGAGGCAGTGGTACCAGTGACCCTTATCCTCGGGGTATCCTCCAGTGTACCAAGCATTTCCCCCTGTTAGTTCATCTGGTCCTCAGAGCCACCATGTGATATGCCTGCTGCCATCATCATCTTCCCCAATTTACAGGTAAGTGAGCAGCCCAGGTGACCCCACTGCCAACCAAAGCTGACTCCCCCATCTCAGGCTGGCTTGGCTACAGCTCTGGGCAGGGGTGAAGTGGGGAGACACTGCTCTTCTCCAGCCTCTGGATCCCATGGTCCCTCCCCAGAGAGCAGCCCCTGCCCCTGTGGTCCACACACACCGCTGCTGGTTTGCTGAGGAGTGGGGTCTAGGACCTGCCACCCATTGTATCCTGGTGGAAGATCTTTCCGGATCATCCAGCACTCATTCCAGACATGGAAGTTCCTGCGGAGGGGACAAAGGAGACAGGACTCACCTTTCCTGAGCATTTGCTAGGTACCGGGTACAAGACACTAAGCTGGGTATTTTGTTGTTCCTTCTTTTTTTTTTCTTTTATTTTTAAAAATTATTTATTTATTTATCTATTTATTTATTTATTTATTTATTTATTTATTTATTTGGTACAGTGTTTCACTACACAGCTCAGATTCACAGTAATCCTCCTGTCTCAGCCTCCCTAGCCCTGGCATTACAGGCGTGCACCACCATACCCAGTATCAGGCCAGCACAGCATATGGTACTTGGAATCGAAACCAGGTCCTTGGGCTTGCCAAGCAGGCACTTTGGCTACCAAGCTATCTTCCCAGCCCTGTTCCTTCTTTTTGTCTTTTACTGTTTATTAGAAAGTAATTTCAAGCTTGCAATTGAGAGCCTAGCACAAAGAACACCTATCTGTCCAATTCCTCTATTAACATTTTTTCCATTTGCTTTCTAAAAACATGAACACCAGGTGTGACTGAACAATATGGTGAATGTTTAGATTTGTAAAAATGATTACAATAACAGACACACTGCCATTAATTCCCCTCAAAATAGTCCCCCTCACTTTAAACATATTTTATCTGATGGTTCTTGCCATTTCTGAAGCAGCTCGAGAGAGCCTCTTTCAAAAACGTCTTTAGTTGCACTGTCATGGCTACCTCAGCATCCTGAATCACTTCAAAACATTTACCGTTTATGGTCATTTTGCCTTTCAGAAGAGTCAGAAGTCACATGGTGTCACATCAGGTGAATAAGGCGGATGAGGACACATCATGACATTTGTATAAGCCTACCTTTCCATTGCATGACACTTGGCAGCAGTCTTCACCGTGTTTTTGACTACACTTCACAAAGATACCCACAAAAGAGGACTATCAGAACTGCTTTGGCAAGTGGCAGCCTCCCTAGTGCTGTCCTTACCAGACTTGTCTCATTTCTGAGTCGGAAGCATCTCTGCGTTTCGGTCATGGTAGGCGTCAGTGGTCAAGTTTCCGTCCGTGTTGTGTGCAGAACCCTTTTGGGTAAGTGTGTTTGAGGTGAAGGGGAATATTTGGGGGGATTAATGGCAATGTATGTTTGACTGTAATATTTTTTAAAATATTCACCTTATTATTTTTTCTTTTCTGTATTTAGGACAGGGTCTATAGGGTGTACAGGGTCTCACTTCATAGACCGGACTTGTAGTGATTCTCCCGTTTTCAGCCTCCCAAGTGCTGGGATTACAGTCACATGCCACCATGTCTAGTCTCACTTGCTGTCTCAGCGCACCCCATGTGTGGGCCCAGCACAGCATGCCGGGATTGAACCAGGGCTGCTGTGCTCTGCCTAAGCAGGCACTTTAGCCCGCTGAGCTATCTGGCCAGCCCTCACCTTATTTTTCATCACAGTGTGTATACACACTTCTTTACATAACAGTTAAGCAACCTTAGCACTTAAAATTGGTAAAATACTTTAACTTATATCTATACTTTCACTTTATCAGTTGACCTGATATTGTTCCAATCCCAACTGACTTAAAATTCAGTCTAGGACTAGATTTCATTGTCTACTACTATTATCTTGTAACAGTTCTTCAACCTTATTTTTAGTATATTGGCATTCTGAAAATGGTCTTTAATTATTCATTTATCTCTTATTTTAGCAGTGTCCCCTGTTTGGGGCTAGCCTGACATTTTCTCATGACTAGACTCAGGTGATACATTCAGAGAGAGAATTCTATGCAAGCAGCTGAGATTTTCACATGTACCGTTGCTTCTGCAATCTGAGCCCTTGGGGAGTAGAGGTTTAGATCCCAGGCTGGAATCATCCCACTTGCTTATGGCCCAGCGAAGTAGGGGCTATCTGCATTTTGCAGACAAGGAAATTGAGGTTCTAGGAGAGTGGGCTCAAAGGATGCCAGCTAGATCTCGTGCCAAGAGTTTCACCTGGAAACCAGGTGGAAAGGAAAAACCAAGAACCCATGCTTGGGGGAGTAGCAAAGAAGGAAAGAGCTGGGGAAAGAGAACTGAGACATACAACTAAAGGGACAGAAGTGGGGGAGGTAAGGAGAGGGAAAAGCGCAGGGAGACCAGCACAGGAAGTCAGAGACAGCTGTCCAGCCTCTGTCTCCCAGGGTGGAGGAAGGTCAGGGTTGAGGATACACAACTCTGCATATGGTTGTCCAATGTCTACCCAGTGTCTAGCTGTGAAATGCATTTGATTTGCTAGCTAAACATCCTTGGATTTGGGGATTTTCCCTGAATATCAGTTGCGATGTTGAGGGCAGAGCCAGTGAACCAGGTCACAGTTTCCTTCTGCCCCCAGCCAGGACAGAGCAGAGATCTACTCCAGACCGTGTCCTTACCAGACTTTGTCTCGTTTCTGAGTTGGAAGCATCTCTGCATTTTGGTCGTAGTAGGTGTCAATGGTCAAGTTTCCATCCGTGTTGTGTGCAGAATGGAAATTGGAAACAACACGGGTTGGGACACCTAAGCATCTCATTACTGAAGAGAAAGAAAAGAACAGGGTCTCTGAGTTCAATTTGAGCAGAATCATTGCTTTTTCTTTTTTCTTTTTTTCTTTTTCACTACTGGGGATTAAACTCAGTCTTCATACTGAGCTACATCCCCAGCCCTTTTCTATTTTTTATTTTGAGATAGGGTCTCACTTATTCAGTAAGTTGCCCAGACTAGACTTGAAGTTGTGATCTTCCTGCCTCCCAGTGGTAGGATTATGGGTGCCACCCCACACAGTTTCTGTACCTCATTTCTAGCTTTCAACCTGGAGCAAAGAAAATAGCCAAGATTTTCAGTGCCTCACTTACAATTCCTTAGAGCACTGTGGTCAGGCCCAAAACCCACTGCCTGCTGTCCCCACAAATGTTTTCCATCTCACAGAGAGAAATAAATCCCTTGAGAGTCACTTAAAACAATAATGAACAATCAATTTATCATCTAGGGATTTTTTTTCTACTAGGCAGCTTTCCAAGTTAAAAACAGAGAACACAAGTCATTTGACAGTTAGAAAATGTAAAGGCTTTCACCCTCTGCCATGGCCAGTTTCAAAAGGAAAGCACATGAACACAGGTATGTGGCCCAGCTGCTCCTGTTGTCACTGCAACAGCACCATGAGCTGGTCTGGGTGACTTTCAGCTTTGAAGTTCTGGATCTGTAGTTCTCCTTACAGATAAGAGTTGGGGAGATGGGACAGAGGGAGGACACTAGGGAATGGAGAGAAGAGCACTCTTGTCTAGAGATGCGAAGGTATTATTAGGGACTGGAATCCAAAGACACCACCATCTTTGAAAAGGTAGCAGCTCTCCCTTGTGGTCACTCAGGAGACTGCTACAAAAACCTTGAAAATGAGCAAAAATGTTGCAGATCTAGTGACATGAAGCAGGTATCACCCCACCAACACAACACACACACACACACACACACACATACTCTCTCTCTCTCTCTCACACACACACACACACACACACACACACACACACCCCTACCTACCACCACCACTTGCCTTGAGCCAGATGAAATCAAGCCAAGAATCAGCATACCTTGGGGACACAGGTCTGCACCTCTGTCAGTGTGATGAGTTCAGAGAGCTTTACCCATCCACCTCCCTCCCAGGAGGAGCGACAGTGTCCACGAGGCTGCTGAGAATCCTATTGCCTTGATTCACTGCAGGGCCTTAGGAGAGTCACTGGGCATGCTCAGTGCATTTCATAAACCAACTTTCAGCATGGAGCAAAGCCTGGGCTGCAGGGCTGGCGGCAGCCTGGCCGGAGTAGCTTTCGTTGCTCCTGGGACCCCAGAAGGGCTCAGGGCTTGGAGGTGAAGCAAGCTCATAGACCTAGCCCCTCTCCTGCTCACTCCAGGCTCCAAAGGCTTGACATTTCCTCCATAAAGCCCACCCACCCTTTGCTGGCCAGATTCCTAGCCCAAGACAAAACTAGGGTGATTTGGTGCCAAGTAGCTCCAATCTCATTTTATAAATAAGCAAAGTGAGGTCTGTTATACCCTGTTAAAATTGACTTCATTTTGTTGCCCTTCTAACCTCGCCGAGTTCCTGTTCTGTATGCGCCGACCCCTCCCAATCCCTCCTCCAATTTCCCAATTCCTTCAATTCCTCACCCCTGTGACTCAAGTCTTATGATATCTGTTCCCCAAACCTTATCTTGTCCTACGGAACTCTGCATGATTTCAGCACCCCCGCCCAATGGGCCCACTCGATGTACTCATGACTGCCAATTCAGCACCTCCACCCAACAGAACCACCCCATAAACTAATGACTCACTGTACCCCATGATTGCTGATTCCAACACCCCACCCAATAAGGACCACCTAATGAACTAATGACCCTGCCACTTCTTCCTCTCCACCCCTTCCCTGTTTTTGCGGTTTTCAAGCTTAAATACTGACCCCTTGTCAGTGCCCGGCGCGCCTCTTTGCACCTTGCATAGAGACCACCACTGGGTACCAGCTAAAATAAAGTGCTTCTTTTAACTTTTGGACTTGCCTCGTTGTCATCTGATTTTTGAGCTACAACGAGGTCATTTGGCCTGAGTACCCGGATGTAAATTTCTTGTCTGTAGTCCTTGAACACAACTGCCAGGCTAGGCTGCTCTCCAGGCCCAGTCTCTGTGAGTCCCTCCTCCAGAGCAGAGCCAGCCTTCTAGATGAGCTCACATTTACTAAGCTCCATAGGGTGGCATGGCTGTGGGAGGTGAGATCTCTCCTCTTTCCCTTCTCTTTTTTGTCTCTTAATAGTAGTAAGGATGAGCCCTGGGCCTTCACGCTAATCTACATCCCCAGCCCTTGTTAATTTGCTTCTGTTTTGAAACAAGGTCTTGTTAAATTGCCAGGTTGCCCAGACTGGGTTTAAACTTGAGAACTTCTATCTTCAGCCTCCCAGAGTGCTGGGATTACAGGTGTGTACCACCTGCTCGGCTTTTGCTCATTTTCATGGATAACCTGGGCAGCAACTCTGCACTAACTTTTAAATAGATGAGAGCGCATAAAACATCAGTGCTTCTTAGTTGTAGGTAGGAAGGTAAGAATTAATCTCTAATTACAACTCTTAAGAGTCTCTGAGAGGACTACAGAGATCGGGCAGACTACCCATTACCCTTCTATGCCCTCCCACCTATTCCCTGACTCCAGGCTCACCTTGAGCTGAGGAGCTCAGCAGATGGCAGAAAGAAGCCTTTACACCTCTGCCTTGCAACCACAAGCCACCCCAATCAGGCAGCCGCTCTAACAGCCTCCTTCTCCCTCCCGCAGTCTGAGCAGGTCAGCCCCCTGAGACTGACCAGTGTGCTGGCAAGCCTGCCTGTGGAGGTCACAGGCAGTCCACCGGACCTCATGAGCCATAGGTGACTTCTCTGAAAAGAGGCAGTCTCAGTCTGGCCTCAGAAGGCCACGAGGATCGAGGAGCTCTTCACTCACCGGTGCACATCACTGAGGCAAAGACCCAACACTGTCCAAACTTCACAGGCTGCCCGCCCTGAGCTGACCACTGCCGCAGGATGGCCACGCTGCCATTCCACTCAAGTGGGCTAGTGCCTTTGGAGTAATCTTCGCCCCAGTTCCCCTGCAGCACACCACTGTCATCATTGCTGTTGATCTGCAAAGGACAGGCAGAGTTCTGTCAGTGTTCACAGTGTCCACCTGGCGAAGCTCAGACTGTCCAGGGACTGTGGGCCTTACCATGGCGCTCACCACCCTGCACACGTATACCACGTCGTTCCGCTGGGAATAGTCCTTAGCTGGGTCCCTCAAAAAGTGCAGGCTCTTGTTCAGGATCTCAAAGCAGATATCTAGGATGTCCTTTTCAAACTTCAGACACATTGCAAGAGAGAAAAGAGAAGAACAAACAGGAATTCTGAATTCTGAAGCTTCGAGTCACTTAGAGACTTTTAAGGTGGTGTTATATGTATGTGGCAGGAAGTGGGAGATAGATATAAGACACAGCCCTACTTTTGATGAGCTTATAGATCAAATGGGGAGTGTGTTGAACTTGAAGTCTGAAGAACTAACCAGGGAGGCAGAACATGCAGGGAGAATTCAGGGTGAGAGATCCCTGCTAGCTGAAGAAGAGAGAAGGCAGTTGCCTGAGGTGTGTGAGCGTGTGTGCCCCAAGGGCTTGGGAGTTCTCCTCTCTGGAAGGCTTGTGCTAGCAGAAAAAGCTCGGATAAATGAGTGTGTTTAGAGCTGACATTAGAGGAGAGGGAGAAGACATGGAGGGTCTTGAAATTGGGTAGAGAAGCTCAGAATTGGTTCTGTGAGCACTGGGTGGCCAGTGAAGGTTCTGTACAGTGTGTGGTTATGATGTACCTTTCATGCCTCTGACTACTAACTACAATGGAATCCATCTCAGTTCGAAGGATCTTCACAAGTTGTATTGTTGGAAAATGAGGAAACTGTGACCTTTCCCAGTAAGTCTCCCTGCAGCTGCTAATGCTTTTCCCTGGAAGCTGAGCCCAGGACTGAGGTGGGAGGAAGGAAACACCCACAGTGCTTGTTACTTGGGAGCTGAAAAGTTGTGCACAGTCATGGGTCTCCTCTGAACAGTGACTGAAATACTGATGCTGTGAAAGAATTATTGTGTATTTTTCAGTCATGATCAGGTTTTCTCCCCCCAAAAATCCAGTGACTAGGAAAATATAGGAGTGCTGGCCAGAGCTGGGCATACTCTTTCTGTAAGGGCAGCTAGTGAGGATTTCAGTCCTGCCAGGCCTTGGCTGTGTCTCCACAACTCAGCTGAACTATTATATACCCCCAGGCAACATCTAAATCAATGAATATGGCTATGTTCCAAGCAAATGTTCTTTATGGGCACAAATTTGAACTTCATATATTTTTCAATGTCATAAATTTTTTTTTCAATTCTTTTAGGCAATTATGAAATGTAAAATCTATTCTTCCCTGTGGGCCATTGCATTAGGCCATGTCTGGCCCTACAAACTTCTGGAATAGATGAAAGAAGGTTCACCATAAATTGATCACTGTCAAAGCTAAGAAATGTGTACATGGAGATTCATCACAGTCACTGATCTGCTTTGGTTATGTTTAACCCACACACACATACACACACACACACACACACACACACACACACACTCACAAACTGAAAAGGAAAGGTGCCTCCTTGCCCCTCTCACTGTGTAGAAGCTGTCAACACCGCACCTGGCTTTTGCTAGCATCCTTCCTAGGACCCTCTGACAAGCCCACGCCAAGCCCACCTTCAGGAGATGGCATTACCTGCCCATAGTTCCAGGGCCAGGAGGTGATGAAACTTTCGTGACCCTTGTAAACAAAGCCATAGTCCCTCATGATATACTCCTGCAGCAGTGTTTCACTTGGCAGGTACACATCATCATCTGCGCAGATAAAAGTAGTAGAAGGAGCAAGATCCAAACCAAAAAACAGAGTAATAAAATTAGAAAAACATTAATGACAACATTTTTCTGGAAAACAGGAAGAATAGTGATTGATGTTAATAGAAAACAATTTTGGGCCCCTTTAAAAGTTTGCCATGTGCTTCTTCATGGAGGCTAGCAATACAATCTGTATTTTAAAAAAGATTTAATGTATAGATTTAAATAGTTACAACCTTATTGTAGAGACTGGAAACTACATCGGGTTCAACCTGCATCCCATATTTCTTTGCTCTTTTTTTCTAAAATGTTACACTAAAAGTATTTTTTAAAAGGAATTAGTATTGCTTATATGCATTAATGATAATAAATATTTCTCTGTGGTCCAAGACAATTCCTTTTCACTCAAAAAAAATGAGGGAAGAGCTGGCCAAATAGCTCAGCAGATTAAAGTGCCTGCAAGCAGGCTCAGGGGCTGGGGGTTCGATCCCGGGGCCTGCTGTGCCAGCCCTGCCCCTGGGATGCGCTGAAACAGCCATTGAGACTGGGTGTGGTGGCACACACCTGTAATCCCAGCACTTGGGAGGCTGTAAACAGGCAGATCACTACGAGTCCAATCTAATAGTGAGACCCTGAACACCCTGTAGACCCTTCCCTAAAATACAGGGAAAAAAGGGGGTAAAAATAAAATAAAATAACAGACAGGCTGAAAGTTGAGCAGGACTGATTGAGACGGCCAGAGAAATAGGGTGGAAATCACTAAAGCTCATTATTCAGAGACACCCACCAGTGCATTTTAAAACATAGTGTGTGCTGGGGAAATAGCTCAGTGGCATAACTCCTGTCTGCCAAATGCAAGGTCCTGAGTTTGATCCCGAGTACCAAACCTCTCCCCCAAAAAATAACCCCCCTAAAACAAAACAACTCAGTGTGCTAGGCATTATTTTTCTGTGCACATATATTTAATATAATTAGGATCATATTGTGTTCCTTTTGCTAAACTACTTCCCTCAGCATCGCTTCAGAAGTATTTTCATCCTGCAGTTAAAAACTGGTAAAGATGAATACCTCTCATCTTGATCTTCTAGAAGGTTTTTTTTTTTTTTTTGGAAGCTCAAAATGCCTTTAGGGCATTTCTCGTTTGCAGTGACTCTCTGGTTTGGAACCCCAGAAGCTTGAACTTCAGGGCTTTGTTTAAGCAGGCACTTAAACAACTGAGCTGCTGGGCAGGTCCCCTCATCTTGATCTTCTAAATGTGCACCATTTCTAATGTCTTATCAATTACTATACTCTCTTTAAAATAAATTAAAACAAAAACAGACAAGGAAAAAAATTAAGATTTCTTGAAAGCAAGCACCAATATTCAATTATTTCCCCAATCTTGCATAACTATATCATTAATCTGAGCAACAAATTTGACAATAAAAGTAGATACTACAACAACCATTGTTAATTAGCAATTCCTGTTTTGAAAATCTGTAACATATGTATTGTACATTACCCCATTTCTGTCTTTTTTTTCTATTTGTTTTTGCTTCTGTTTTTACTCTTCAAAATAAAATTTTAAAAAACTGGTAAAGATGATCTTTAGAGAGAGCACATGGGGCATATCTAGGACTCTGCATGATTTATCTTCCAGCCTTTTTCAGAAGACCCTTATGAAGGAATCCCAGTGGACCAGGTCAGTATCCCACCTGGAGTGTGGCCTACCTGTGCTCCAAGGGTTAAATAGCAGGATGAAAGTGCCCATCGGGTAGGTCACACTGGGGCCCTGGCTCTGAGCAATCTCTATCTTCAGCATGTAGTGACCAATGACCGCACTGGCTGGTGTGAAAAGGGAGACTTGGAGAGAGGTGGAGTCAAGAGTGAAGTCAGACACATGCCAGGTGTTTCTGTTCCTGGGCCCGGTCTGTATGAAGAAGAACTTGGCTCGGGTCCGCAGCAGCTCAGAGGGCTCAGGGCCTGGGTAGGAGAGAATGACCCCAAGGAAAGCTCAGAAATCTATGTGGCATTAGATTTCTCACTTCCTCCCAACACTTGCCAGTCCTTCTGGTGTAAAGCTCTGCTGACCACTGGGTGTCTACAGGTAAACTACTTCAGATCTCCGGATATATATATATTATATATAAAGCTTTTTTATTTTATTTATTTATTTGTGTGTGTGTGTGTGTGTGTGTGTGGCCAGCTCAGCCCAGCTGGCATGTGGTGCTGGGGGATTGAACCGTGGTCCCTGGGCTTTGCTAAAGCTTGTTCTAAGTAGGTGCTTTAGACCACTGAGCCATCTCACCAGCCCCTTTTGTATATTTTTTAACCCTTAAACTGGGAATCCTGATAGTACCTACCTGAAACTCTTTTGTGGCTATTAAACAGAATCAAGTGTGAAGTTTTAGCACACTATTTTTTTTTTTCTAGGCAGGGTTTTACTAAGACACTAAGTTGCCCCTGATGGACTTGAAATTGTAATCTTTCTGCCTCAGCCTACCAGAGTGCTGGGATTATAAGCTTGTACCACCAGACTTGACTAGCTCAGTGTTTTTAAAGGTTGGCTGCTATGGCCACCATGCTTAACTGCCAGATCTTCCTTTAACAGCATTAACTGGGGGTCCCAGATTAGAGAGGGGAGGCAGAGACCCTTTGCAAAGGTCCCCAGGCTGAGGGAATATTCAGAGCTCACCTGTCTCAGCCACGAAAGCAATGCGGTCACTGTGCGGCTGGAAGGGCCGGCTGAAGCTTAGCTGGAGGCTGAAGAGCTGGCCTCGGCGCAGGATGAGGCGCTCCATGCCCATCTCCTGAGTGTGGTGCTCCTTGTTGTTCCTGGCTCTGTGTAGGTCCACAGACCTGAGCTCTAGTGCTGCCACTAGGGATAGGGAGGGCCAGGTCACTACCCAGTTATCACTGGATTCAAGAGCTACTGACAATTCTCAACGATTTCTGTGGAAACCAACTCTGATTTAGACTCTTGTCCAGTTCTTAGCCCTTCTGCCTACTTCATGACTCAGCCCTACAGGGCAACTCAGTAGGAACAGGAAGGTTGATTGATTCTGGTGACCCTTGCACTCAAAACTGGAGCCACAGTGCTAAAAGACTGAGGCCTCAGAAGATAGAATGGTTCTAGGTGTTGAAAGTTACTCTATTACCCTGATGTAAGAACAAACATAATTGGAATTTTGTAAGTGAAGTCAGTGGGCTGACCAGAGGCTAAGGCGGCAGCTATGGGACAAGTTCCTGCATGAGACTATTGACAAGTTTACAACCTATTTCTTGTTTCTCAGCCATTCCAGGTCTAGGGGGAGGCCACTGGTCACTTCATAGGGTATATACCTAATGTATGGCTATGAAACTCTTAGAGATCAGTGGTCAAGGGTGTGGAGTGATGCAGCCCCAGGTCACCACCTCCACAAGTCATTGTGGGACCTTAAGCAAATTGCTTTAACAGCCCTAGACATCAGGAACCCCATCTGAAATCTGAAGGAACAATTGTATTCCTATTTGCTGGGGTTCACAAGGGCCTGAAGAGAGGATGCACATGACAGAGTCTTCACTTTATGAGAGATACAGACAGAGTAAGCCTTCAGCAATTGTTGGTCTTTCTTAAAAGTTGTAATAATACCATTGCAGACTGCGTTTGCTTTGCTATTTTTGTTGGCAATGTTTATACTGCATTCACTGTCAAAAAAAATCCATTAGATCAGGCAACCCATTTAGGACCCTTCCTGTCTCTCAGGAGTTATTCCTGTGTCCTCTTCCCCGTTCCTATTCTCCAATAGGTTTTCCTGCTCTTAACCTCCATTGTAACCATGCATGGTGGTGCAAGCCTGTATTGCAGTCTCAGCACTCAAGAGGCAGAGGCAGGAAGATCGCTGCGAGTTTGAGGCCAGCCTGGGGTACAGCATTGAGTTCATGGCCAGCCTGAATTGCATAGTGAAACCTTTCCTTAATAAGATAAGACAAAAATCCATTAGGTCTTTCTCTGAGTAGAATATCAAATTAATCCCAGTAATTCTCCACAAGAGAGATATCATTTCCTGGAGGATGTTTGGTGATGCCTGGGCACATTTCTGTTGCTGTGACCGTGGGGTGTCATGACTGCCAGGGATGCTGCTGGCCAGCATCCTAAGGAAAACCAGGATGGTTTATGTGGCCATTGTATTTTGAACTTCCACCTAGATTCTCTGTTTTGGGCTCTCTCCTAACTGTTGCAATATTCTCAATCCTAATTCTCTCACCTGGATCCTTTATTTTGCCATCAACAGATAGGCTAAACCATTTTCCATGTCTTCATCCAAGTCACTGGGCCTAGATGGTTTTAAGCACTAGAGTTTAAGTCAGAGGCCAATGGAGTATCTGCAGAGCATTCCTCCAGATTCATTCTGGACTACTGAGCAACACTAGCTACGAATGCATCTAAATACTTTTTTTAATTTATTTGTTTGTTTATTTATATATTATATATTTAGTACAGGGTCTACAGGGTCTCACTATGCAGATTAGACTCGTAGTGATCCTCCTGTTTTCAGCCTCCCAGGCTCTGGGATTACAGGTGTGCGTCACCACACTCATGTCGCCCTCTCAGCACGCCCACAGGGCCAGGCCAACACAGCAAGCTGCGGATCGAACCCTAATCCCTGTGTCTGCCTAAGCAGGTGCTTTAATTCACTGAGCTATATGGCTGGCCCCACATAAATACTTATGTAAAGAAGTTAAATTATGTCGATTAACATTTTAATAGCCTAAAAATCAAGTCCAGCTTTTTCCCACAAGTTTGCTAAATGACTGAAAGCAGAACATTTGCAAAGCTCTTTTGACCCCTTTCTAGAAACAGTCTTTCCCAGAGGTAGATTTATCAAAGGTAAATTACTGGATCAAATGGTACAAAGTTTTTAAGCCTCTTCATGTAATTTTGGCATTTAAGTGGATATACTATTAGAAACAGAAAATTCAGGGAAAGATCTCAGATAGTTGCCTTTGAGTTGTTTCATGGAAGTTTTTATACACTGGGTCTGACACATTAATAGTTTATAGAATCAATGTGACTCATGTTAAGAAAAAAGAAGAGATCATAATGTACTGCACATTTAAAAAGAGAAATGATCATTTTATGTGTAACAGGACCATGGTGCAAATTTTGGATTGTGGTCAAAAGTTTGAAGACAACTGGCTCAGATTCTATTGGAAACTAGCGACATCTCCCTTGTTCCTGAAGGGTCTGAAATGTGCATAGCAGGATCACAAGCCTCTCAGAAATCCTCTCCATCCTATACCTCCCTCCCAGAGGCCCATCCGCCCTGAAAGACCTATATCAAAAATGGCAGAAGAGTGCATAGAGGAACCTTTGCAAGCCTTACAAAGCCCTTTCCTGGCTGCTATCCACAGCTTAACATAGTTCCCAAGAGCAGGCCGTGCTATTGTTTTACCCAGACTCCTCTCGGTTTGAAAAGAAAAGGGGAGCCAAAATGACACTGTCTTCCTCTCTGTCCTCAAAGTTGCAGTGCACAGAGGCTGTCTCCTCCATTAGGCACTTACGTTTTCTCTCTATTCCACTTAATATAATTACGCACTTGGCTCACTGACAGCTTTTCATGTCAAAGAGACAATGTCTTAAGAGAACAAAAAGAAGGACTTGCACAGGCACCAGGAAAGAAAGCTGAGAGGATCAGGAAGAGCTGCAGCAATGCAGGAAACCCAGCAGCATCAATTAACAAAACACGTCAGCACCTCCACGTCTGACTTGGCCACAGCTTCTCAGCAGTTAGCAACATGAGTCAGAAGAGAGATGAGCCCCAATATGAGAGTCCTTGCATTGTTTGTGTTTTTGTTGTTGTTTTGTTTTTTATAGAGAAATAATAAATCTTTATTTTGTTTTCCCTAACTATATAAAGAACCATAAGGTAAACACACCGTGGATGGCATCTACTATGAACGCACATTCAGCGTACATACTCGGCATAAAAACATTTCACAAATACAGCAGTAATTTAGGGTATCAATTCCCAATATCAGACAACAGAATTTAGATAGGACTAAAGCGTTTGTTTAACTAATGCAAAGACAAGAGTAGATGCTTGCCTGGCAAGCGCAAGGGCCTGAGTTCAATCCCCAGTTCTGCAAAAAAAAAAAAAAAAGACAAGCGTAGAAAGGATCAAGTCATTTACTAATATATCATTAGCCTTTGAATAACACAGGAGACATTAAAACAGTTGTCCGCTTGTGATGAACTGTGAAAAGCAAAGCTCCTGTCTTCTGAGAAAGCAAAAGTAGAGATAGCCTGCTCCCCTGGGTCCACGGGGAGGCTACACACATGGGGCTTTCTTTGGCCATGGAATATGAAGCTCCACCTCCCACCCTCATACCACCTTCTTTTTTTCTTGCAGAGCATTTAATAACATCCAGAATTAGCTTCACAGAAGCTGAGATCTTTGTTATCTTCTTGAACCCAAACCCCCTATTCCTAGAATGCAGGATTGTACCCAATTTTAGAAAAGTATGGGTGATGTTTCTGGAATACTTATAATAGTCAGTCAGAAAAAAAATTAGGCCAGTCATTACCTGGAGCATTTTACTTGTCTGAAATCATCTACATTCTCACGCACTCCGGTGGAGAATTAATATTGTGCCTGGAGTGTAGGAGGGTGCAAGGTAGAGCTGGAGTTCAAGCCCAAGTAGGCTGGCTCCATAGCCTGCTCCTGACCTTCACAGTCTCCTCTCTTCCCTGGTAGGAGCTCAGTGATATTTGCCGAACAGATAAACACTTGTGTACATGAGGCTTAAGGAGTAGTCGAACTGGAAAGCAGGAGGAAAGGATTGCTATTTGTAATATATGGATATGGATTGATGTAAAGAAGACAGCCTTGCTATAATCACAGAAATACAAACTTAAATAATAATGAGATCTGTAGTTGAGCTATTCAAAATATTTAAAAGAATAGCAATGATCTAGTTCACTGAAGACATGTGGAAATGGATTTTCAAATAAGGATAGTGAGAGTGTAAGTAAATTCATACAAGCATTCTAGAGAAGATCAGTTAATAACTATCAAAGATTAAAGAGGATATTGCCTTTGACACAACAGTTAATCTTTCAGACATCTCTCATATAAAATATTTTCACACATATGCAGTTATTTTGGTGCATATATCAAAGCAACTACTAGTAACAACCTATGTGACCATCAATAAGAGATAGTAACAAATTAAATAAATTAATAAATGTATGAAGGAAATTGTGCTTATATGCAGGAATGGAAAACTGTAAATTGTGCTGTACTGGCCCTGTCCCCAGGGTGCGCTGAGATGGTGATTGAGATTGGGCGTGGTGATGTGCGCCTGTAATCCTAGCACTTGGGAGGCTGAAAACAGGAGAATCACTATGAGTTGGATCTATGTAGTGAGACCCTGTAGACCCTGTACTAAATATAAAAAACAAATACAAATACAAAAAACAAAAACAAATACAAATACAAAAAACTGTAAGTTGTTAGAAATTTTTGATAGAGTAATGTGTACTACTTGGAAAGATTTATAAGACGTACAATTAAGGTTTATTTTTTTTTTAATCACTAGAGGGCCAACCAAATAGCTCAGTGTATTAAAGCACCTGCAAGCAGGTGCAGGGGCCAGGGGTTCACTCCCTGGGCCTGCTGTGCTGACCTCGGCCCCGGGGCTCACTGAGACAGCAATTGAGACTGGGTGTGATGGCATGCTCCTGTAATCCCAGCTCTTAGGAGGCTGTAAACAGGAGGATCACTTCTAATCTGATCTAGTAGTGAGACCTTGGACACCCTGTAGACCCTTCCCTAAGATACAAATAAATAAATTAATTAAATAAAAATAAATAAATAAATAAAAATCACTAGGTAGGGCCAGCCAGATAGCTCAGCAGATTAAAGCGCCTGCTTAGGCAGACTGAGGGACCCAGGTTTGATCCCCAGCTTGCCGGGCCAGCCCTGCCCACCCGGGTACCCTGAGAAGTGACTGAGACTGGGTGTGGCGAGGTGCACCTGTAATCCCAGCACTTGGGAGGCTAAAAACAGGAGAACTACTATGAATCAGATCTATGTAGTGAGACCCTGAAGACCCTGTCTACATGCAAAAGTAAATCACTAGGTAATGCACTTTATATAATTTTATTTATGTAAGACAAAGGATTTTATGTCACCTAGCACTACTTGGCAGCAATTGAGTGGATTGTTCATGGACTAAAGCAGAATTGGGAGTATACATGAACATGATGGGAACTTGGGCTATGAGGAAGGAGAGGTAGAAAGGCTGGAAGGCAGCAGGACTGGGGAGCAAGGGGTGCATCCCAGCTGAGGGGCTACTGTTTGACTCAGTAATGAGTAATATGTTGATCCCTATGGGGTATAAATTGTCCTAAGGGAAATTTGTCAATATCACACAATATTGATTGACTGAGACAGTGTCTTACTCTGCAGTTCAGGCTGACCTTGAACTCACTTTGCAGCCCAGGCTGGCCTTGACCTCTCACTGATCCTCCTCCTTCAGCTTTTCAAGTGCTGGGATTACAGGCATGCATCACCATACCAGTTATTTATATATTTGTTTATTGAAACAAGGTCTCTCTATATAGTTTAGACTGACATAGAATTCACTATGCAAATGCTGGCTTCAAACTTGCTGGGATTACAGGTATGTACCACCATATCTGGCTCGTAAAAAAAAAATTAAGTTTAACCCTTGAAACATAAATATCTTTGACCTATAAATTTCTCTTCTATTTTTTTCCTAAAATCATCACTTGTTTACAAAAATGTAAGCATAAGGATACTCAATGTGACCTAAATTAAATATTCTGCAATAAAAGCTGGGTATGTAAACTTTATTCTTATACTCTGATGTAACCAATAAAAGCATTAAAAGCACCAACAAAGAATAAGAATAGGAGAAAAAAATCTCCTACTTATTAAAAAGCCAGATTTTTTTTTAAAAATGATTGAACCATAGCGTGTTACTGATTATCTTTGGTTGATGAAATGGTGGGAAAGATTTTCAGGGTTTTCCTAGATTTTCCTTTTTCTTTTTGTTTTAGGAGAGAATGTTTCTCTTTACTGTAAATAGGTTTGTGAGCAGAGGTGGCAGGATCGAAGCTATACATGTGGATTAATTCAGCTCTAGTGAAGGCAGTGAGAGTTCTGTTGAAATAGCAGAGTTCAAAGTCCAATGTGGGGTTCTGGGGATATAGCTCAGTGGCACAGCAGCTACCTGACAAGCATGAGGTTGTGAGTTGGATTCCCAGTTGGGTTTTTTTTAAAGTCTAATGGGGATTTAAACACAAGTGCTAGGCCAGGAGAAAGGGGTCTCACTCTCTGTGTGAGTGCCTGGCATTCCTGGCATGTGGCTAGCTAATAAATATAGGTTGAGCTATCTTCCTGCGCAAGGCTGCCCAAGACCCGGGCAGGAGTGAAGGGAGGAAGGCCAGCCAGGCACAGGGAGCCACAGCCCACGAGGGCCTGTGCAGTCAGGCTGGCCGCGAGGGCCTGAGACGTGAGGCAAAGAGCACAAAGGGTGAGTGCCACCTGGCACAGGCAGCAGACAGCATGGCACCTGTCACCAAGTGACTGGTGCAACCAGCTCTCTTCCTTCTGCCTTTGTCTTTGACTTTATTCCAGCTTATTTTCATTCTGCATTTCTCACTCTTCTTACGATTTTGGGGGCATTTTACAAATACTTCATTCTTAGCTCAGCAATCTTATAAGGCCACCAGTTCTGAGAGGCAGAGACAGGCAGATTCCAAGTTTAAGCCCATCCTGGGCAAATGGGTGACTTAGTGAGACTCTGTCTCAAAATAAAAAATAGGAAAAGAGCTGAAATCCCAGGGCTGAAAAATAATTTCATTATTTTTCATTTTTCTCATTTACAAGACATGAAAGCATACATACGTGGGAGTACATATGAAGAGACTTCTATGTGGTGAGATTGCTATAGTGTTCTGTGTACCTTTCAGTGTTCAAGAGCAATCCAGTCCTATTGCTTGAAATTTCAAATCAAAATTTCTTAGCCAAGGATTCAAAGCCCTTCAGAGTGTGCTCCTAACTTATCCTCAATCTTATCTCCAAATGTCCCATGAGAACTCTTTTTTATTTATACTGTAAGCTCCAAATAGATCAGGCCTGACTCTGGGCAGCCCCTGCCCCTTTCATAGTCCCTTTTTGTTTGCATTGGAGCAGTTCATCATGCAAAACAGCATCATGCAAACCACCTCCTCCCTGAAGCCTTCCCAAGCATCGGAGAGCACTGGGGCATCTCAGAACCTGCAAGAATAATTTTATATCTAGATAATATTTATTGATTTTAATTCAGCTCCAGGCTGTACATACCTCATCTTCTTCTATCCATACATCTACCCAGCAAAAGGTTCCCAACTCAATGCACGAGATGAGTAGGAAGGTCATCAGTGAGGTGAGGTAACTTTCCCAGTGTCATCTATTTAATAAGTGACAGAACTGGCATTTAAATCTAGATAGACTAACTTCAGAACCTAGCTCTTCACCTCTG